ACCATGTTCACAGAATCCAAAGTACAAGCTGCTATCAAAGAAATGAATACAGACTCTTCACCTGGCCCCGACGAAATACCCGTACATGTTTTAAAGAACTGCGGAATTGATAGTTACCTAGCATCAGTAATGCAAAAATCATACGACAAAGGAGTTTTTCCTTATTTATGGAAAACGGATTTAGTGACTCCTGTTTACAAAAAGGGAAACAAATTAGATCCTGCAAATTATAGACCGATAAGCTTTACTAGTGTGGTGTGCAAAGTCATGGAAAAGATAATAGTTAAGCACACGAGGCAGTTCCTTAACAAACAACAAACTATTGGTAAACAGCAACATGGTTTCTGTCCTCATAGATCAACGATTTCTAGCTTGATGTCTTGCTTATCATACTGGGTCAACAGTCAAAATGATCGAGAACCAATAGATGTTATATATCTGGATTACGAAAAAGCTTTTGATAAAGTACCAATAAGCAGACTTTTATATAAATTGGAATTTGTTGGTGTTCGAGGGCAACTGTTAAATTGGATTGAGAGTTTTCTACGACAAAGAACCTTCAGAGTAAGGATTAGCGACACATTGTCAGATGAAAAAGAAATACAAAGCGGTGTGCCACAAGGTTATTAATGGGACCGGTATTGTTTATACTGTTTACCTTTGATCTACCAAAAAGCTTGAGTTGTAATGTAAGTATGTTCGCTGATGACACGAAGATATTCGCAAACCCACTAGTGGACTTTGATCATCTTCAAGCAGATCTAATTAAAATATCAGAATGGTCAAAAAGGTGGCTTATTAAATTAAATATAAATAAATGCACAGTCCTCCATATAGGAAACAGAAACCCTCGTTTAATATATAAAATCGATGATATACCTTTGGAAGAATTTAAAGTACAAAAAGACTTAGGTGTGCATATAAGTAACGATTTAAAATGGAATCATCATATAACAGTTACAACTAAAAAGCAAATAGTTTTATTTACCTGATTAGAAAAGCCTTCGGACATCTTACACCAGAAATGATGCTAAAATACATAAGGCATACATTCGACCTATTTTGGAGTATGCGTTCCAAATCTGGAGCCCCTATTTCAAAACGGATATTGAGTTACTGGAGAAAGTTCAACGTAGATTTTCAAAGGTCCCTAGAGTATTGAAAAACATACCATACGAAGAAAGGTTGAATAAGCTTAAACTAACGACACTGAAGGATCGCAGAGAACGGGGAGACTTGATCGAAGCATATAAAATTATACATGGACACTACGATCTGGAAAATTTTGACAGAGATTTATTCCAGTACTCAACAAACACACATCTTAGGGGACATCACTTCAAATTAACCAAAACCGTGTCACATAACAACCCACACAAGCACTTTTTTAGCCAAAGAGTGGTTGAAGCATGGAATAAACTGCCATTAGAAGTAATATCTGCACAAACTATTAACCAATTCAAGAACAGATTAGACAAACATCTAAAATAAGAATAATTACATATTTGAAAATAGGATACGGGCTTACATCAGTTGTTTCAACTGCTAGCCTGTTAAGTAATAATAATAATAATAATGCTGTTTTGGTGTCGGCAGGGTCTTCGCGGGCCCAGCAATCGGCACTCGCCACTGGTGGAGTACGCCGCATGCGTTGGACAACCCAGATGAACAGCAACGCATTGCGGGCGTATTTTAGGGCGAAAGGGGGAGAAACTGGAGGTTTTGCGTATCGGGCAAGGATGCATCGACTTTGCTGAGCTTGAGCCATCTGTAACTGTCACCGAGCAAAACCTGGCAGATCGAGTTCGGTATATCTTGCGCTCAAATACATTTGATGTCACCGAACTCGAACGGCTACGACGTGAGGCTGTTCCTTAATCGGGGGAAAATGCTGCGGCTGAGGATGCGGCGCCAAACTTGCTAAGCAAACGGCAAATGTGGATGCCGCCGTGAATACGCCAGTTGTGGTTGATTCAAACGATGATGGAACAGTCGCCCAGGAACTGGAACTAGAGCAAATGAGGAGTACATTGGAGGAGGCGATTGTGGAAACGCGCAGTACGCCTCTCGAAAATCGACCGCGACTTCCCCGCTTAGCCCTAAGCAAGCGCAATCGGGCTGTCGTGAGGGCTCTGAACCCAATGCTGGTTACCTATTTGGAAGCCAGCCGGGACCTTTGCGAGACGGACTCAATTCTTTTTGGCGCCGCACTGGCATTCTGCCGTATTATAGGCGCCAAACTTTCCACGGCTGGACGCGCTACTGGACAAAGTTGTGATATCCCAGCCTGGAGAATAAGAATTGAAGAAGGTACGCAAAGGCTAGGGCCCTCATCGGCAGACTGATATGCTTCAGGTCAGGCAATACCAGGCCAAGGATTGTGCGCACCGTCAGGATGGCGTTTGCTGGGACAAATGTTAGTTTGTCCCAGCCGGATATAATACAAAAACTGACGGAGCGCATAGACGACCTGAAGCAAAGAATCGCTGCTTGGGGAAAGCGGATTCGGCGATATACCGAGAGGTCGACACGGTTCAACCAGAATCGTATCTTCCAGAGTGATCAGAAGAGGCTCTACAAATCATTGGAGCGACCAAAAGTAAGTGGAACGGGCCCAGCACCAAATCAGGCCGACACGGTCGCATTCTGGCGCAGCCTGTGGTCAGAGCCCGTAAACCACAACGAGGGCCCTTGGACGGAAGTTGTGGCGAGTCAGTGTGTGGGTATTACGCCCATGGACCCCGTCATCATAACCACGGATGACGTAGCTGAGGCGTTCCGTAGGGCCCCGAACTGGAAAAGTCCGGGGCTTGACGGGCTGCATCACTACAGGCTGAAGGGGTTCATGGTGTGTCACGCTGTGCTCGCTCGACAGTTTCAAGAGGCTCTCAACCAGAAGTCGCTCCCAAGCCTCTTCACTACTGGGATCACCCATTTGGTTCCTAAAGATCAGGGTGCCACAGACCCGAGCAAATACCGCCCCATCACGTGTCTACCGACTATATACAAGACACTAACATCCATTTTGAGCGCGAGAATCGCTCGTCACCTGGACTCAAATCAGGTGATGTCGCGCGCTCAAAATGGATGTCGGGGCGGCGGTCGTGGAACCAAGAACCCACTCCTCATTGACGCGGTCATTGGCAAAGTGGTGAAACGCAACCGTCGGAACTTCTCCGCCGCTTGGATAGATTACAGAAAGGCATTTAACTCGGTGCCCCATACATGGCTAAAGAGGGTCCTCGAGTTGTACAAGATTGACTGTACAGTTCGAGACTTCCTCGAGCAGTGTATGGGGCAGTGGAGTACGATCCTCTGTCATCTAGGCGAGCGGATGACGGCTGCGGAAAGCCGCGTAAGGATAAGAAGGGGTATATTCCAGGGCTACTTTTTTTTTTAATTTATTTTCTTCCAATTATACAATAAACGTTTTTAACATTTTTATCTGCCAAACTGCATTACAGTTTGTCGGCAGTAGTTCTCGTCTTACATGCTTATGTTTATACATATAATCTGAAGTATAATTTCTTATACATATACTAATATCTCCCAAAATCTATTTTATTATTTTATCTATACATATTTAGTACTGTCTGAGTCCAATCTGGTTCTGCCTCTCTTTGAACCCTCTCAGTACTTTACTGGAGGGCTCCGGGAGGGGATTTCAGCTTCGGAAAGGAGGTACAAAAGTGACCCACCTTTTCTATATGGATGACCTCAAATTATTCGCCTCCAGTCGCTCCCATCTTATGGAATTGCTAAACATCACTTGTGAATTTAGCAGTTCTATTAGAATGGAGCTGGGGACGGATAAGTGTGCGGTCCTCCATGTTGAAAGAGAAAGGGTCACTAACTCTGAGGGCATAGACTTATCTATGCCCGTCAACTTAAGGGCCCTTTCCGAGGCTGAAACATACCGATACCTGGGTATGTTGTGACATATAGCGGATGATGGCTGCGGAGAACCACATAAGGATAAGAAGGGGTATCTTCCAGGGCGACTGTCTGAGTCCAATCTGGTTCTGCCTCTCCCTGAACCCTCTCAGTACCTTACTGGAGGGATCCGGGAGAGGATTTCAGCTACGGAAAGGAGGGGCAAAAGTGACCCACCTTTTCTATATGGATGACCTCAAGTTATTCGCCTCCGGTCGCTCCCATCTTATGGAATTGCTAAACATCACTTGTGAATTTAGCAATTCTATTGGAATGGAGCTGGGGACGGATAAGTGTGCGGTCCTCTATGTTGAAAGGGGAAGGGTTGCTAACTCTGAGGGCATAGATTTATCTATGCCCGTCAACTTAAGGACCCTTTCCGAGGCTGAAACATACCGATACCTGGGTATGTCACAGAACATCGGTATCGATGAGGCTGGTATGAAACAGTCAGTTTGCGACGTGTTTTATGCACGCTTGACCAAAGTGCTTAACAGCCTTTTGTCCGGTGTGAATAAGACACATGCATATAACGGTTGGGTCATGCCTGTCCTCATGTATACCTTTGGCATACTCAGGTGGAGTCAGACTGAACTTAACGCCCTGGATAGAAAAGTCCGCACTACAATGACGTCCCATAGGATGCATCATCCGAGATCGTCGGTAATGAGGCTGTACTTGCCGCGAAAGCATGGTGGGCGTGGCTTCCTGAGCGCGCTCACCATGCATAATCGCGAAGTGTGCAGCCTCCGTCCGTGAGGTCGGTACCACCCTGGTTTGAGCCGGCCCATACGTGCAACAGCAAAGCTGCCGCGTGGCTCTACCACTGTTATACCTAATTTCTAATTTGTCTTGTGTTGTTAATTGTAAACATGATTATAAGCTATTATTTGAAAAAAAAAATTGTCCCGTTAGGTTTCTTGCTCGTTCTTCCCAGGATAGAGGTTTTTTTTGCGAACCAGTGGTTAATGAAAAAAGTGACTTTTAATAAGTATTGTTTATAATCTACATTGAATAAAAAGGTTTCCGTGTCTGTTTGTAAAAGTTATATTTCATTTTCGTTTCAGCGGAAGAGTTTAATATTCGCTTAAGGTGGAACAAAATAGACGCTGCAGTATTTACAACAGTATTTGGCCTAATCGGAGCTGGAATTGGTGGATATAACAGTGGTAAACTAGGAGCTGTTATCGGAGCAGCAGCTGGTGGTGTTACAGGATTGGCAGTATCCAGTAAGTATATTGGTATCTATAATTTGTTCAGACTAGAGTTTAGATAGCTTTATTTTCGCCCGCCAAGCGTGGCTACTACGAAAAAATCCCCTCTATGAGGCAATCTATGGTGGGGGGGGGGGGTTCCTATGTTCAACCATAAACTTTTGTAAGCTGTAATGGTACCTAAAAGATGACATAGTAGTCAGGCTGTCTGATTAATTCAGATAGTTTGACTACTATCTGAATCAATCAAGACCATCACTTTTGTTATAAAGAACACAGTCTTTGATTTTGTTATGGCAATTTAAACCGCTGTAATTAAGAATTGGTATCATGAGAGTGAAAGTACTCTACTTTACTACTAAGTTAACCTTGGAGTTTGAGATACCCAGCTGTAAGTCTGTAAATACTTGTATATTGACACCCTAAAAGTTGTCTCAAAACCTACATATGGTAGGATGTACGCAACTATTATATTTCAAGGTCAAAGGTCACAAACGGTTTTTTTGCGCTTTTTTTGTAAATATCTCATTACCTATGGGTGTTTTGCTATCTGTATTTATTATCAACGTTGTAGAATACAAAATTCTCTACAAATTTAGTTTAAATTTTTTTTTATATGGTGAACCGTTTTCGAGATAGAGGGCGGAGAGCGCGCGGTCACAGCATCAATTCAGGTCAACCGGTGCCTCCGGTCGAAAACGCGCCATATATAGTTGATGAACTATCGATAAATCAATGATTATAAATATTTGTCAATTTTTATTAACAATTATATTATATTTTATCATTTTTCCTAACCTATCCACTTTTTATTCAGTATTAATTTCTTTAACAACATTTACCTGCCCATGTAATTGCAGAATTGTTAATGAAAATATAGGAATTATATTAGAATTATAATCTAATTAATATTAATAACTTCTTACATGATGAAAAAAAATTATGAATTAATCTTTTTATTAAATATATCATTTAATACATAAATTTTTATTAAAAGTAAAAAAATGGAATAAAAGGTACGAAAACTACAATTTATAATTTTAATCATCTTCCTCTTCATAGTCATCTGGTGTCGGTGTCCGGCTGCTGGTAAATTTCAAACTGGTCTTCATTATCGGCTTCAGCGACATTTGTCTCAAGTTCTTCCATGATTTCGGGGTCAAAGGTTCCATCGTCGTTAATGTTGCTCTGATATGGTAGAGCATTGAGACAAGCATTGCCCATTACATTGGCCACAAGCTAAAGAGCATTGCAAGTCCGCTTTCCTGCATCCGCATCGCGAACCACAACCACTCTTGCAGTTTCATAAAATTGTATTTAGCCATAGATATAAGAAATAAGGAGATATGCTCAGTAGTTGAAAATGTATCGGAACCCGGTGTCTCCAGTTGGCCCCTACCACGCGCCAACTACTACATATGCACATCAGTAAAAGCAATAGATACACAATCGCGCTATACTAAGCAAGCAATGGTTCTTGTTCCTAATAAAAACATTTGATTTGGTTTTTCATCGTGTTTCTAGTACCACGAAGTAATGTTTTAATAAATTGAATAAGAAAAACATTAATATTTTAGTACTTACGTGTGAAATGAGATGCCATCTTTCATGTAATTCACAATACAGCTGTTATTTTTGCAAACAATCACAGAACAACGCGGCATTTTGTCAAAAATCACGAGCAGTGAAGACGTCACAAGTTGACATTCGACTAATTACCGAAACTGGCATCAGGCCGCTTTGCGGCCAGATGCGTTCGCAAGTGCCACGCCTCCTTGCCATATCTCCTGTTGTTTATATGATCTGAGTATTTAGCAAATCTTCTAGAGCAGGTGGTAAAATTGTCATGATAGGCTCCAGAAAATCGTTTCGCATTGCCCAACCCCATACCTGGGGTTCCAAATCATGCCATAACCAAGTTTGAACTTGATAATATACACAATTGAAATGTTCATGAGCAGCTGCACTTGTTGGTGGAATATTTGAAAGCTGCACAGGTTTATTAAGTTTTGTACACTTGACGTAATGCATATAGTTATGTATTATGTAGTGAAACACGAGCGGTGGTTGCAACAACTGATTTATTAGCCTTCATGGCGGTATTGGCATATTATTAACAATATAAATTATCGACATACCCGACACCTCTGTACCTAATAATGCTTATATTTAGTTTAATTCTAGTAAATATTTTATCACATGTCTTAATGGGCATATAATTTGAAATAAAAACTTACATTCATTTATATTATAGTACCTTGGCCGGCCACGACGAGGACGTAAACTACGCTTTAATATTGGTGGAGAAGGACGAGTTAATATTTTTCTCTTTTGTTTCACTCGAAATCTGTTCACTGTTTTCCGAACTAGTGGCCGGCTGAGAGGCCGGACTAGCAATAGTACTGTCCGTCGTGGTCAGCGACTCTGGCACTGTAAGCACCGCACTTGGCGTAGGTGTTATATTATCTCTAGTTACATTTGTGTCTGTCGAAGTACAGGTCAATGAATATCTTTTTTTATGGGGTATCTTAGGGATTAACATTTGGTCAATGTGTCTTCTGGTGCTAACACCCGCCGGCAGGTTAACAGCGTAGGAATTCGGACCAACTTGCTCACTGACTTGTCCTTCGACCCATTTGTCACTCTTATTTGAATAATTTGGTACGTACACATGATCGCCTATACCGACGTTGCGTTGCGTGCCGCCAGTGCGCTCGACCTGTTCGAGCTGTTTGTTACGCACCCGCTCTGCGGCGTCCGGGCGCAGCGCGTGGAGCCCGCCGCGCAGCCTGCGGCCTAGCAACGCAACTGCGGGCGCAACGCCCGTCGTAGCATGTTCACAATTCCTATATTGGAACAGCATTTTACACGGTGCTTGTTCGATATTTGCCCCCTCGTGATAAGCTTTTTTAATACAGTTTTTAACCGTAATAACCGCATTTTCCGCAGCTCCGTTGCCTTTTGGTCTATACGGGCTGGTGAGAGAATGTAAAATGCCATTTTTATCTGGGGGCACGGCAGTGCCCCCGCCAAGTCGAGCAAAAAAGCGGCACGGCCGTACCATCTTTTCTCGAAGCAATTCAGGCCATTTTCGACCCCTTATAACTTCATGGTCAATAAAACTAGAAGCCTGAATTTTCAGTAACCGAGTAAGCATTCTATAGACATGGTATATTTTAAATTTCATTTAATTGGAACCAGTATTTTAAGAATTGTAACCGGTCAAAATTTCTTAATTTTGTCACTCACTGACTGACCGATCATCAAAACTCTAAGGCACTTCCAGCAGACATAGAAGCTTCAAATTTAGAATATAATTAGTGTTTAGTGTATAAATCAAGGAAAAACTAAAACATTTGTTAATTTCTGTCCAGTTTTTTAGATACACTAACTGCATAAATAAGTTTGTAATCCCATATAAATATATAGAATTACAAAGTTACATTTGCAGTGAATGAATCTGTGTACTTGTATATGTATTACAGGTGTACATAGGTACATTGTTGGTACTCAAGAAGTAGATGGTACCGGAAAGGTAAAAAATTAGGACTATCTTATATACAAAAAGAAATGAGATACCATTAAAAACATAACTTGTAAAAAAACCTTGTCTCGCAACTCAGTTCTTCTACCGTAAAAGCTATGAAATCCATGTAATACCAAGTCGGTTAATTTATTCAGTTCCTACTTAAGGGTCCTTCTGTTTTAAGTTATTACGTAATTAGCTACCCTAACAACATTTTATAGTGACCATATCAATTTTAATTGTCTTTTATGTTTTAAATATATAGTTATAAACGATACATCCGTTTTCTACAAACAAATTATTTCTACGATTAAAATATGCCTTTTCTTGCTCTATGTCTGTATGATGTGGCCAACCAAACATTATATATTTACAAATATTTCGTAAGATGGGATCAGTTTTAGTCGCCTCTGCGATATCCTTGTAATTGACAGGAAAATCTTTCTCCATAAAAAGCACATATGATATTGTGTATCGTAGTGGGCACTGGAATCGCGTGTACGAGCATGCGGCAGTGGTAGCCGTGACAAGCAGTCAGCCGGTGCGTTTTGAGCCGAGTTCAGCCACTCAACGATAAAATCATAAGCCGCCAGTCGCGCCGCGTATCTCTGTAATCGGCTAGCTGCTGTTTGCTGAATACCGATTTTACCTCTAAAGATATACGAAAGTGGTTTGTGATCAGTTCGAATTATAAAACTTCTACCAAATAAATACTGATGGTTTTTTTGTAACGCCAAAGAAAATCGCCAACGCCTCTTTATCTAATTGACTGTACGACTTTTCGGCTTCGTTAAGCGTACGTGAGACGTAGCAAATTGGTTTTTCAAACCCATCTGGACACCTATGTGCCAAAACTCCTCCTAACACATAAGCACTACTGTCCACACTTAAAATCAGTGGCAATGACGGGTCATAATGCGCTAAAAATGTATCGCTACTTAACGTTCTCTTGACATTGGCGTACGCCTGCTCGCATTCATGACTCCAGTACCATATCATATTTTTTGTAATAGACTATACAAAGAATGTAATATTTTACTTAGATATGGTATAAATTTACCGTAGTAGTTTACAAGCCCTAAAAATGCTTTCAACTGGTGAATATTTTGTGGGCAAGGTGCGTTATTAATGGCTTTAACTTTTTTATCATCTGGATGTAAGCCACTTTTATCAATTATGTGTCCCAAATAACAGACACTTTTTTTTAAAAAACTCACGTTTCTCTAATTTAATTCTTAAACCTACGTTCTGTAACCGACGAAAAACTTCCCGCAAAATATTCAAATGAGTTTCCTCCGTCCCCGAACAACATATATCGTCCAGGAATACAACAGTGTTAGGTACGCCCCTGACGACCTCCTCCATCAATTTTTGGAATTTTTCCGGTATTCAGCTTGAGCCATACGGGGTGCGGATATATTCGAACATGCCTACGTGCGTGCTTATAGTTGTACATGCTCGTGATTCCTCCGTTAATATTACCTGTTCG